GTTTCTCTACGTTCCTGTTTCCAAGAAACACGGGACACATTATTGGAATCGTCTCAGAAGACGGTAAAAGCTATTTTAGAGACCCCACTTTTTGAAATCAGAGAAATTCGTTTTTTGCGCCCGCAAGTGACCCCAGGGACGGTGATTTGGAGAAGAAAAATTTTTCATTCCTTCTTTTTACACAGTACAGTCAACATCTATCTGTCTTCGTATATTCAAAATTTTCATCCTTCTGTACATATATTTGTAAAAACTCTGTGAAGAAAATCTATGACCTGTATAAACTGTACTGTAATTAGGAAGTGATAACTGGGCGCTTACCTTCAACCACCGTTCCATCTTCGGACAATTCAAATCCTTCTTTTTGGATTGAAACAAATTTTTTTCCATCATATTCTTTGAGTTGTTGTACACAATATTCATCGATTTGTTCAGTCATATAGATAATTTCATAGCCACGTTTACGAACACGTTCAACAAATGCAGATTGTTCAACAATTTGTCGTGATTCACCCGTGATATAATAGATATCTTTTTGAGTTTCTTTCATACGTGAAATATAATCTTTGAGTGAAGTTATTTCATCACCCGATATCGATGTGTGATAACGAAGAAAACTCGAAATTTTAACACGATTTGTCGGATCTTCATGAATACCTATAAGAATAAGAATAGTGAGCTATTTTCTTTTTCCAGAAAAAACAAAAATATATACCGAGTTTGAGACTGCATGAAAATTGTTCATGGAATTTCTTGAATGATTCTTTATCTTCAGCAATTTCATCGATTAATTCCATACATTTTTAAACCAAATTCTTACGAATAACTTGAAGCATTTTGTTGTGTTGTGATCGTACATGTAAAATATTGAATGGGAAATCGTCTGAATCGATAACACCTTTGATAAAATGTAAATATTCAGGCATAAGTGCTTCACAATTTTCCATAATGAATACACGTCGAACATAAAGTTTGATGGCATTGTTTGTTTTACGATTTTCAAATAAATGTAACGAAGCACGTTTTGGAATGAAGAGAAGTGCACGAAATGCCAGTTGATCTTCGACACTGAAATGTTTAACTGCCAAATAATCTTCCGAATCATTTGTCAATTGTTTGCATACTTCAGCATATTCTTCCTAGAAAAAAATTTTGTCTTTAGAGAAAGAGAGAAAGAGAGAAATACATACGGTTGAAATATCTTTCGGATTTCGTGTCCAGATCGGTTTTTGATTATTGAGTTCTACTTCATCAGTGTATTTCTCCTTGATTTTCTTCTTTCTAAAAGAAAAAAACAAATTAACATTAGCATTGGACAAAAAGGCACAATTTTACTTTTTCTTGTCGGTGTCCTTCTTTTTGCTAGCTTCATCATCGCCATCGTCGATGCCTTCGAGTTCCTATCAGTCAAAGAATTGGTTTAGAAAGAGCGAAAAGAAGATCACACACACACTTACGGCTTTGTCCTTTTTGCTCTCGTCTACGTCCCTCATTTCGACATTTTCATCGGTTGATTTTTCGTCTTTCTTCTTAGGTTCTTTCTTTTCATCATCGGCTTCACCGTCCGAAATTTCTTTTTCGCGTTCCTTTTGAACGACCATCTTGATCGAATGGCTGATGAATGGCGAATATTTCTTGACGACTGAGCAACAAGACAAAAGGAAGGTTGTCGATGAGATTTAAAGAGAATCACACACATACCTTCTTTGATGCGTTTCTCTTCGAGGAATTCGGTTTTATCTTGTTTGAAATGCATGACAATCTTTGTGCCACGACCCAAGGGGTCACCCTAGAAGAACAACATAATGTATTACCTAATAGATAACAACTCTTCCAGTATACCGGTGGTGTCATCCTTGATGGTGAACCAGCCGCCGCTGCTCGATTCCCACAAGTATTGTTCGGCATCGTTGTGTTTCGACGTGACACTAACATGATCGGCAACCAAATAGCATGAATAGAAGCCGAGACCGATTGGATAAATCATCGAAATATCGGCACCTGCGTGAAAATTTTCGATAAATGCTCGAATGCACCGGCGCCGCAATTCGTCAAATACACCAGCAAATTTCAGGAGATCGTTCTAGACAAAATTGTTCCTTATTCAAAACAAATAACATAAGGAAAAAAATACACTTACTCTAGTCATGCCGATACCGGTATCGATGATGGTAAACGTATTATTTGTTTCGTCTCGAATAATTTTGATGTATAGTTCTTTGCCGGTATCGAGTTTCGACGGATCGGTGAGTGATTCATATAAAATTTTGTAGAGTGCATCGGATGCATTCGAAATGACTTCACGTAACAAAATTTCTTCGATCGAATAGAACGCTTTCCTAATATGTGACATAAGCCAAGGAATTTCACTATGCCAAACGAACCTGTTCATTTCGCTACCATCTTGCTCGTCCACGTTTGTCGTCGACATCTTTCGTTTGATTGTCGGAGAAAGAAGGTGCACGTATATGTGACAGAATGTGATGATGTGAGATAAATGCAAGCAGAGCCTACGTGTACACACAGCCTTATATAGGGTTGTTTCCCGCTAGCCGTCAATTTTTCTCGTCAAAAATAGCCGCCGTCACACATATAAAAAAAAGGAAAAGAACAAATTTGATTCATCAATTTTCTCAAAGCTAGTTCGCTTTTATTCTTTTTCTCTTGACTTCAGTCGGTTATGACGTCTTAGGCCACGTTCACACTACAAAAGTTAAATCAGCAAAAACGAAGCTGATTGGTCAGAAAGTTAACTCTGAGTTAAATGAATATCTGAGAATGAAATAAATATCTGAGCCTTCCTCAGTTTGTAGATCTTCGATTAGCGATTCGAGTGTACACCTGATAATTGCAAATTCACTGTTAACAACTTACGGGATAGGTTTGTTCTTAAAAGGTCAATTGAAAACCCTATAAAAAGTAGGTCAGGAAAACCTGTGATATAGGATTCGATGCATCTTCATTTCCTCTTTCCAACGGTGAAAACCGCAACTCTCTATCTTGTTTCTGTCGAAAGTTATCCAAAAAATACTCATTTGCTTTTTTCGAAATGAGCATTCATATAACCGTCACACATGCGACCGAAGCAGATGTTCTCGAAATTTTATTATTATGATATTAGTTGAAGTATGATCAAATAGCATAGAAAAATAGAGCATTCTTTCCTCTATCAGACTATATAGAAAGAAAGTTTCTTAAGCTTTTTATAAGGAACTACAGTACCGACACCACTACTCTTGGTATGCCCTAAGTACTTGACAATTGAGCGTTTTAGTCCCCTCTGTAGTCTTTGTTTTTTGTATGTGGATTAAAAAAAAATGCTCTCTCAGTAAGCAATTTCTCAGATAACAATAAAACATGAATAAAATAAAAAGATCGTTTGACGATAATTAGAACAAGAAAAAAAGAATGAATTTAACAACGAACAAAATAAAAAC